TCGATGTACACCACGTCAACATCCTTCTGTTCAGTGAGAGCTCGTACCCACTAGTGGTTTGCGTACATCAAGTTGGTGATGCAGGATCGCCCTTTCGTAAAGCCGTATTGCACTGGTGTCAATACGTCCATGGATTCGAAGAACGATAGAAGACACCTTTTCACTATCTTCTTGATAATTTTGGATAAGACCGAAGTCAAACAGATCGGTCTATAGTTCTCGATTTTACTCGGATCACCACCTTTGGGAAGCGGTCTCACTATCGAGCATTTCCAGTCGTTTGGGACAGATTCTTCGGACAGTGATTTATTGGATAGGTTTGTCACGGTTGGTGAGATGATAATCGATAGGGACTTGAGTATTAATGGGTTAAGTCCGTCTGGTCCAGGGGGCTTTGCACCATCGAGGTTGACGAGTAGCTGGTACACTTCGACTGTATCACATTGTAGGCTGTCGAGCAAGACTGGCGCAACCTGTGCCGGTACTGGAACAGCCGTCGGTTTACTGAAAAATACGGTGAGGAAGTGCGTGGCCAAGGCGTCCGCGCGCTCCGCCCTTGAAATGAGCGTCTGTCCGTCCAAGCTCTCTAAGACCGGTAGGTCACTCCCAGGTTTCAGTTGACGTTTCAAGTAGGCAAACATTCTTTTGGGCGGTTGTGGCCTAGGATTCTATCTACTCTTCGAACTTCCGGCGTTTCTTGATCTTCGCGGCGTTACATAAGTTACGCTGCTTGTTGCACACCGTGTAATCTTCATCATAACCCGAGCTGATGTATCTATCTCAAAGTTTGCGACGCCGTCGCGCTAACTGTCTATATTCCGTATCAAAACAACGCGGTTTGACAGATCTGATTTTTGAATACTTCAGGGGAACGAACCGAGTACACAACGAGTTAAGCTTCCCCTTCATTAATGACCAACAGGCTTCAAGCGACGCATCCTGTGGTAGTGTCCAATCAGTCTGACTTGCGGCTTGGACGAGCCCGTTGAAGTCCGTCTTCCAATAGTTGAATGTCGGTTTCCGTTGATTGTAATATGGTAACGACAGTTCTAAGCTTGCCACAATGGAGCAGTGGTCATTGTTCGCCAGAGGTTCGATGACTCTGATCTCGTTCAGCTTCTGCTCGCAGCTCTTAAACGTCCAGAGACAAGATGCCGAGTGCGGAGTTACGCGCGTCGGTTGGATGATATGTTGCGTTGCCCCGATTTCAATAGTCATTTTAGCGAATTGAGCCTCAACATTGCCATGACCGGGAAGAAGTCGAACGTCTGGCCAGAATATCTTAGGTAAATTTAGATCCACCATCAGTAAGAACTGAGGGCGGCTCATGCGCTTCTGTACATGTGGTAGCCAATCGCAACAACGGTTTAATGGGCTACGGTAGGTAACACCCACTATTAGTTCTGCGCGTCTGAGGCGGATTGTGCACCACATTTGCTCGCATAAGTTATCCTCGCTCCGATAGGTGCTGGTAAGTTTGCCAGATAGTGACGATTTGATGTGTAACAGAACACCACCCTGATTATTTGATTTTCGGTCGCCTCGGAAACAAGCATGCTAACAAAGCGACTTCTTGGGGTATGACGTCGGAGTTCAGCCAAGTCACTGCAAGACTTAAAACGTCCGGTGGTTCCGAGGCAGCGAAGCGGCACAGTTCGACATGTTTGTTCATTAGGCTGCACAGGTTGGCGAATGCCACACGAAGGTCCTGGGAGGTACCGCGGGACGTGTCTGGAGGTTGAGCAACCGGTTGATACGGGTTCGTACACCCTTCTTGATCACCCGAAATTTACAAATTTGTAACCAAGTCTCACCGTCTTCGGTACGACGTTTGAGCTCAATGACTGCAGTCTTCAAACGATCTCTGTCTTCGGGTTCCAAGTCTCGGTGAATATGAACCTTTATGCCTTCCAGCCTTGACAGACGAGACAGTATGAGCTGCGGCATATTGTGATTTGCAAAGGTGATTCTCAGAGGTCGACATGACTGGTTAATGTTCTGGCCACCTCGGATTACTTGTTTAATCGTCACACTGTCTTCACCCACATCCAAGAGTCTATCTAGGAGCGAATGGAGGAACTCAACATCGTGATCATAACGTATCTGAGGCTTTTCATCTTTTGATTCTGGTACGTGAAAAACCATGAGATTATGTCGCCTCAGCGAAATCGGTGATGAACCAGTGAGAGCAAGACTAGAGGCGCTTATCGGTTTGGGTTCTTATTTATTAGCAAGGGACGCCTGAACTCGATTAGGTGGCGCCTTGTGCTTCTGAGTGGTCCATGGATCCTCGGTGTTCAGGGGTTCACAGACAAGCTCTGAGGAATTCACGGACCGATCAGTGAAGCGGCACTTCGTAGGTTCCGAGTCTGAGTCTTCAATCGGTGGGGGACATTGAACCTGAGGCTCGGCCAGGGTCGAAGACCCTGTTGGTGGTGCAAGTCGCGGAGGGACAAGGGAAGGCGAGGTGACAGGGGTACTTTCACGAGGGCGTTTGACCCCACCTGGTGAACGGTTTGTTTCTGCCTGGAAGAGTGGTTTTCCCGTAGTTGTTGGCGGTTGCTATGTATTCTGATGTCTTGCACCGCAACATTTATCACATATAACTTGTCAGATGTCTAGAGATTTTCGAAACACGTCAACGGATAAGCCAATGCAAGAAATCTGGAACAAAACATCGTAGCTGAAGCACCGAAGTGCATGAGTCTTATGTCCAACAACTTTCGAATACGAACCACAAGTAGTTTGAGACGGCATCATAAGGTAGAGCAAATTCAAGATGGCGGACAGAGATGGCCATAGGGCCAATCAATGAGATCTCCGGAATTAGCCAAAGAATATCCACCCTATTTTAAATGTCTTTACCCCTGGCTCTGATATGTTTGTTGAAAACGTAGGTTGTAATGACGCAAAACCGTCTTCTGTGTACTCTGACAATTTTCTACATAACAACGTCGATCCCCTGTGTTTGTTTCGATAGTCGCTATCACAGTTCGCTATGAAAAATTCCAACCTGCCAGGGGCAATGTTAGTTACTCATAGCCGGTACGAAACAGCATGTAACAAAGCAAAAGATTGTAGATGAGTAATGCATAATGCTTTCTAGAGGAAGGTCAGTGTATACTCACGTGATACGCACGACATGGAACAAAATAACACCATTATGGTAGGATATGTTATGGGGTATCACCTGAGGCAAGGAGCATTGTACATGTCACTTCACGATCCAGTGTCTAACCATTTGGAACAGTGTGGCGACATGAAAAGGGGGAAGGTCCACTGGAAGAGAGAATTAATGAGATCACTGAGGAAAGGATTCATAAGTTTCCCACAGATGGCTTGCGAGACTTATAAGGGGGAGTGCTGGCATCTGGCGGGGTTTCTTTTAACGCACTCCGTTATTATACATTTTACATGTAGGATGTACACAAGTTACTTTAAAGGCCCGAGATCCCATTTCGCATTTGGGAATTCAGCTCACTCTCAGCTCTCCCTCCCCAGATACAATCTGCCGAGTAAACCAGATCGTTGGTTGACTCTTACCGTCATCTCAGTCACGAAGTTAGCCGTGCTGATACGTGTTTGACATTTCTTCTTCTTAACCCTCCTGTCCGGTTATTATATCTCATTTTTCTCATACATTTGTGAAATGACTGTCCGTGTTCAGTCCTTTCCAGTTTGAAAGTTAGTTCATAATCATCATGTTTACTTTCATTGCCTTAGTATAGTGATAGCTGAGGATACCTCTTGGATCAGTGTTCACCTCTTTTCCCATTCATTTGCCTTCCGCTTAGTAACGTGCAGGACGCATCATTAAAGAGCAACTTCCAGCACCATGATATTAGTCCGTCTTTGCTCACCGCCCCACTTTTGGACGTTTTTCATGGTCCCCGCGGTCTCCACACTCTGTTGTAGTAACCCATGTAGGGTTTCCAAATCACCATCCGATTGGTTATTCAGAAGAACATTTGAATACGCTGCACCATATCAGCAAATAGTGTGGAGACAGCGTCTTATGCGGTGTCCATCAGAATCCTCATTACTGATGAGTACTAGTGAGGATTTTTGTATAATTCAGCTACTTCCTCATGGTCACTCTCAACCAACAGGCTTAGACTAGTCTGAAAAAGCACCGGACGTCGGCGTTTCGACTTTCTGGGTCTCGTCAGTGATGCGCACTCCAGCGGACCCTTGCCGCGTTCCGCCCCCATGACTTTTTCGATGCCACCAGCTAGTTCCCATGATGTATTAGCTGAATTATACCGAAATCCCCGCTACTACTCATCAGCACCATAAAATGTCCATATAGTTTCAAGTCTTCGTGCTATGCTGCGGCGTTATGCGGAAACTCCTAGCTCATGAGGCTAGCCACTGTCCTCTGCACAGTTCGTAACTGGCATGGCAGTGGAAGATGTGCCGGGCTATATCATAGTCAACTATCAATTGTGCATGTCCGCGGCTGTTACCCATGGCGACGTGGCACTGCTGGTATCCAGAAGTCATGGGGGCAAAACGCGGCAGGGGTTCGCTGGAATGCGCACCACTGACGAGACCCAGAAAGTCGAAACGCCGACGTCTGGTGCTTTTCCAGACTAGCCTAAGCCTGTTGATTGAGAGTGACCATGATTAATTAGCTGAAGAATTCGCATTAATTGTACCCAGACCCTACAAGAACTATCCTCTGTACACCACCCGCACTGCGTTCATGTGCTCTCTGCGCCGCATCATCCTCCGATACGAATGCACCATTACTCTCATTGTTCCCCACCTAACTGCTCTGGCAACCTCTAGTTGCGTGCCTTGTCATCTCAACGTTGATCATTTGCTCTTTCATGAGCGCCACAAGATGCTGCTTAAACTTGCGGGGCTGGGTTCACCAAGACGTGCGGTAAACTCGAGTTTACCGGAACCACCACTTTTGATATGCACGATTGTGTTGGCTACCTGATCGTTCATAAAGTTTTCACCGTTTCCTCACTCCCTTTTCTCTGTGTGTCTAGAAACGACATTACCAGAGCAGTTCCTTTTCAACAACGCTATGGATCCGCGCGACGCAGAGTCCCTGCGTCGAATGATGGTAGAGAAAGTGACCAATCATTTACGTCAACCCTCATCCTCTGACCACTTTGGCTCGGTTGATCAGCACCAAGAATTCCTGGCGTTGGCTGCAGCAACCGAAATGCTCATGCGTGGCCGTGCTGCGGCCGCCTCAGGTCCCACCAATAATGACCTCACAGGATTTATGCCAAATACGTTGCTATATCAAACATGCACGGGAGTCAATTCTGGAGCACTTACCTCAGCTGTGAACAGTATTAATACTCGTCCGACGCCTTCTGTGCAATCTCCCCATTTTCGCCATCCCTCCTGTATGGCCACCCAACCACACACGTCCACACTTCCACGTCACTCGTACGGACCGAATCAACAACACACACCCGACCCGGCGGTACCCTTTTCTTTCCACCCTGGATTTCATCTGTCGCCACCGACGGCACATTCCAACTCGTCCTCCCCGCTTCCTCGCACGGCCGCAGCACCAGGACCATCTGCATTGAATTACATGTCGTTGTTGAACAATAACGTCCAGACCACTTCACATGCGAAAAATGCATCTCTGCACCACAGTACTACAGCGCCTGTCACCAGTCAGCCTCTTGGACCGGCCACCAGTACCACTCCTGCCTACACTAGTCGCTCTTCATCCACTGGCACGCCTACCGTGCAACAGGTACAAGAACAAATGATGAACGCGGCCAAGTTGGCTATGCTGGCCGGTGAGTGGAATTCGTGTATTGTTTGTTCACTCCCCGTCTACTTACCCCGCTTTCACTCGTATCTTTTTCACCATATTACAACGCACCTCGAGTGGTAATTGTGGTGGAATCTATGGCCTGCGTCTGGTTTTGATTTACCAGCTCTATTGCACCTGCTCCCATCATCATCTGGGTGAACAAATGAAGTATTTGTTCATTGATGCGTAAATCTGCTGATCCTTTGCCTGGTTTCATTGATTAGTTGGCTGAATAAGTGATGTGTTTGTCTATTTATTCAGCTTTTCATCTTCCATATTTATGAGACTAGCGTTTGTTTGCTGCATGTACAACGTGTCTCTTGTCATACCTCACTTATGGCCGCTTGTTATCGCATGCGGATCACCAGTGTTGCAACTGTGTACACGAGCATTTCAGTTACCTGAAACGCACCATTGCCATCATCCAATTCGGTGACATTTCTCTGTTTCCCAGTGACTACTATGTATTGGCCTTGCAAAAGGTCTCGTTTACACTTCGGTCCTCGCCATGGCTTAGCATAGTCAAACGGATGTCTGCGACTAGTTCCGTTGATGCCCTGATATTTGGATCTCTTCAATCTACGCGCTGACACTCCTATGAAAATTATCTCACCGGCCTCCGGGGATCGTGTTCCGACAGACACCCAGTTTGGTCCACCTCGTGTACCGAGTTCTCCACGTCGTTGCCTTATCGCAGAAACTCACTGCTTCACGAATACTCACTCAGAGTTTGGTTCTGCATAGTCTGCCTACTTTGAGACAAAAAAGTGTGATGTAGTGGCAGGCTGGCAATTTTTACTATTTCAGACGTTTTCCAATAAGGCGGATTTATCACGCGCTAGCACGTGCTTTCCGGCTATTCAACTTCATGCAATTCGCTGTATGTCTATAAGTATGGTAACCAATAGCATTGTATCCGTCCCGGGTCCAAAAGGGTCTCGTGGGCATCAACAAATCAGTGAGTCTCTCCAACGTCGTAGTCTGCAATCTCGCAATCTGCCTCTTGGGAGTTTGGACTGGTGTTTCCCTTGGGGTTTCAGGCCCACCCTTTGCATATTGGCAGATCCACACACGAAACGTTTTTTGCGCCGAATTTTAATAAAGGAACCCACGCGGTATTTTGGCATCACAACCGTCACACACTGGACCTTACACGTTTTCTATGAATACGCAGCATTTACACAGAAATTTTTCCAATCGGCGCAACTGTCTTTACATGGGTTCTTTTCTTGCGCGGTTTGTGCTTCGATATCTTCTATTCTTACGCCACTGCATTTCTCGGGCGATGCGACGTGTACTACCCTTATACATCAGTGGCCATGCCCGGACACAGTTGAGATCTGCTCATGTTTCAATTGCACCTTGTAGCCAGTCGGTATACTTCAACTTACAAATAAAGCTACAACAATCTATACTTTTGTCACCCACCGTATATGGGACCTGTTTTTTTAGATAAGTGTGCGTGAACATGAAAGTGCACAATAACTGTGAGTCGGAAGAAGTTAATGCGGAAGATAGCACACGAGAGATTGTGTATCAAGGAGGCATAGAATCCACTTAATCGGATTTGATTCAATCTTCCGTACTGCTGCTAGCCGACAGTCACCGTGCTTCCTACTGTGTGGAACTGCATGGTGCCCCCGGCGTTTCTGCCACATTATTTTCAGTCGAGCATCGCTGAAGTTTTCGGAATGTGGTCTCCTTTTGCTTCTCTCAGAAATACCCTATTTTTGTACTTTTATTTTGAACCATCAACTTGACAACGGGCATCGTTACTATTCGCCTGTAATCAGTTCTGAACTTTTATCGATGCGATTATTCACTGCCGTCTGAGCTGTTGACGCAACTGTGCTTCGACTATATGAGCCAGAGCTGTGTATTCAGGAGTGGTTAACGAGAGGGTTGGAACTACATTGGCCCAAACTCCTGATGACCACTGACTCGCGAGGTCATATGCAGTCGGTTCTCGTAACCTAACGGACAACCACTGTCCAATCCACTGTCGGTATTTAACTCGCTCCAGGACTAACGACTGGTAATGTCTTTCTTCCCATTTTGTTTTTATTTGTATATAATTGTAGGAGCTATCGAAAACATATCTTCGCTTGCCCTGACTTTTGACCTTACTCTATGGGGTTTTAACATGATAATCGTGAACTGATCACACCGCTCATTACACTAGTCTCCCTACTTCGACACCTTTTTTACCCACTTTCATATTTAATCAAAATCCATACTTCATCACTCAGTCTTGAATCAATTCCCATACCGTTTCTCCCGATATTGTTTAATGTAATGATATTTTCTACAGAAAGCATTGCTTGTGCATATAACTAAGTTGCATCTGAAACCACCAGCGTGCACATTCACCACGCTCCTAATAGTTCGGTATTTTCTCCCTATTTCTTCACATGTTTCTTTACACTGGAATCGTCAAACCGCCATTTCTACATCATCCACTGAACTTGTGGGCGTCACCCTGTTAAACCAGTTTTGAAGTTGTTTGTCTACGGTTGTATGTACCTCATTTGCTTTGTCTCCCTCTCGCTTCCATTCGTTGTTTATCAACTTCACATATTTCCCGGATGTCGATTATCTCTGTGCGTAACATCCTTTCACTCCCACGTAACAATCCTGTTTTGTGATATCTAAGCCCCTTGCTTTCATCCTGTTCTCCATCCTTAATCTCATGTTTACTTTCTGCCAAGGCTTCCGTCCTTTGATGTGCACTCTAAGGTAGTCTGTGAATTTCACCGTAATTCCTCCACGCTGCTCCCATCTGAAACGTGAACTATTGAATGGTATTTTCGAGGTGTCCTTTCAACACTCATTTTGTCGGTTCCATACCCCTATGGTGTCGATTGGATTCCGCTGATCTACTCAACTGCGGCTACATTCATCAAATTGTCTTACCCCGTTCCATTCTCTTACGTTTTCGTTACTCTCCTGGCTTACTTTTACAACCAACAAACCCAAGTTCCTAATGTTTTCGTTGTTTACCAACTGACCACAATTTTCCCTTTCTCTGTGTCAATCGCATGTAATAGCCAACGCTCAGTCCGATCCGAACAAGGCTTTTGCTTTCGCGGCCGTTCTGGCCGAAATGGCCGCACAGGATAAGCTCCAAACACAATCCGGTTCATTCAACCACCTAATGTCTCAGCTAGCGATGCCACAACCCGTATCCTTGCAACAACTACAACAACAGCAATCTAAGCCCACTTTGCCTTCCAACATGTTCGATTATCTGCATCAAGTAACTGGCGGGTTACACAATGAAAGCACTGGGTCTATGTCCCCATTTGTCACGGATCGCCGCCGTTCCGGTACCCTCGGTGGACTTCTCTCTGGCCCTATTTCACCTTCTCTGATCCAATCACCAATTGCTATGACCTCGGGCAGACCATCAATTGCAAGCACGACCTCTCAGAGCCATTCTCGTCACTTGTCTACCCCAACCAGCACCGTTCCCCCGCGATGTCCCCCGTCTTCTCTCGGTGGTCTGGTCTCGAACCTGCCTGTGTTCAACCCGGGAGCCAACGCCTCCTCCCCGTCATCACAATTTACCCAATTTAATCAATTAGCACATTCGGCCGGCCTGACGTCCGCTTTGCCGTTGCACGTAAGAAATTTATTGAATTTTTGCATTCACTGATTTGATGCTTTCAAATCTCATTGCGACACTATCATCATCAAGGGTTTCCTACTCGTTCAAGACAGTTCTACTATGCGTACATGGTGTTGTTATATGTTTACATGAATGCAACTGGTTGTTGGGCGATCTGCATCCTTTCATCGAATCAGCACATGACAGTGAAGAGAAAATAACGCAATTTTCACGTCGACACTAGACATACACACTAACGCGGAAGGCCCGAAGGGCTTGACCGTCTTCCATCACCGGTACCTAAGTGCGGGTGGAATCATTAGGTGATCAACGCTGAAGTTCACCACTCGATGTCTGGAGATAAATCTCCGGTGTCTCACTGGAGTGTCTGCTAAACTTGAACCGCCTACCTTGGTTAGATCATGTCCTCCGTATGCCAGTTTACCGCTTTCCCCGGCGTGCTAACGCTCTATCTAGTTGGACGAAACGAGTTAGGCTGTATAAATGCACGAAGAAATTGATCGAGGGACTCGGTCGGGCTTCCAAGTGCCAACTGCGTGGATGGGGGCCTCGCGATGATGCACATCAATGCCTGGAGACCCTAAAGCACATTTGTAGAGTCATTTTCCTCACCATCGTTGTTTACTGTCATCCTGGCGGCACGAGCCATGGCAACGGGGTCTATCACACTTCGGTACTCGGATCATAGTTGTTTAACTGAATTGAGCACGCTTGTGCATTTGTTCCCGTATGTCGTTGATATCGGGGTCCCTTGTATGTACTGTTTCACTGACGGGCACTGCATCAGCCACCATTGTTGCTGTATCTGCGCATGAAGTATGCTATGTACAATGTGAATTGGCTTACCGATCTATCTGCTCACCAGTACTGGACACGTCTGACCGCAACCATCGGTGGAGCAGCGCAACTCCTGTGTAATTTGCTCAAGGCACATACTTAAGTAACTAACTAACTGTGCATATTTCCACACGGCTAGAATATCTTCCCTTTCGTGAAACGATCATTTTTACAGCGAGTTTTGTCAGCATTTCGTTTCTAAACTTGCATTCAACTTGGACCGGTGATACAATGTTTTGTTGAATAGGTGATAAGTAACACTATCTGAAAGTTAATATCATTCTATGTTTTTTGGGCCGGATTCCATGAGTGCACTGGTAGATTGCCGAAGGTCAAAGAGTTGGACGATATTTGACAAGCAAATAAAAGTGCTTGAATGATGTTTAAATGTAGGCAGGCTCTCGCTGGTCCTTAGTTGCAACGGTCGTTTATTCCACAAATGAATGTACCTCACCAAGAAGAAATTTCAGCGGATATTTTTATTGGTCTACTGCAAGAATAGTAGACATTTCTCATTACGAGTGGGATAGGTTAGGCTATTTCGTAAACAGACTGTTGTACTGGTTCAAAACACTCGTACATATATTGTGCTGTAGCGAAGAGTGATATTACTTATCAGTTGTCGAAGCCAGAGTGTATCGAGTTTGAGGTAAGAAAATCGTTTTTTATAAGTAAGCGTTGATGAGCGCCCCATAGGCATTTTGATAAATGAGCACTGAACGTTTTCCAAAGCAGTTCTATCTGTTTTGTGTAAGTGGCTATGTATGATGGTGCCGTACTATGAGTTTGCATGATTCAAGCCGTGTTTGGGACAGCGAAAATGACCTAGTGATGCAGCTTGTTAGTTGCTTCGCTTTCAATACTTGATTTAGGATGTGTTCGGAGAAGCTGAAGCTGCTCGAATATCGAATTCCTCGGTCTCGAACGAAATACGCAGTTGGGATTGGTGTGCTAGTGAGTGTGACGGATCCCTCTGGCATGCTGCATCTGTGGCAGCGTATCTGGGATTTGTCTGCCGAAAACCTCATTGACCTTCTTTCGCTTCATTTGTTTAGCGTCGAATGATCGTGTATATTTTTATGGCATAGTTCCAGATGGTCAGGTAGGACAATGTACAATGAATTTATACGGGCTAAGAAGCGTTGCTTTACAAGTCCCGTTGGATAGTTGGTGGGGATATCAACATAACAATACTGATGGTAAGGATAGTAAATTAGTTAATACTTTAAATATGAAAATAAGGACTTGTCGTTTGCTCCGCTGTAGTCCTGCGATCCTCTTAGATTCACAGCACCCACAGTTAACAACAAATAATTCCATGGTATACTCCAGGTTTAGCATGGAGACGTAGTGTTAAGTAAGAAAGTGTAAGTGGATGAGTGCATCGTCCAACCGTCTTTTAAATACTGTTAGTGTCGGTGCAGAAACGACCGATTCTGGGAGAGCATTCCACGGGTGACAGACACGAATGGAAAAGAAATTTCTGCGGCACTCCAGACGACTGTATTGTTCTGCTAGTTTTAATGAGTGGCCCCTCAGTTTTGTATTGCTGCTGAGTTGCAGTAAAGGGCGGCGCACATCATGTGGGTCTCGCAGAATCAAGTATGCCATAATAAGGTCGCCTCGTAGTCTGCGATAGCTTCCACTGAACAATCCCAATCGTTTCAGCCTCTCCTGGTAGGAAAGATTGCGCATTCCAATTACGTTCTTAGATACCCGGCGTTGTGGCTGCTCCAGTGCATTAAGGTCGTGTTTCGGCCATGGATGCCAGGCTTGAATTGCGTATTCGACATGGGGGCGAACATACGCACTGAGCATTTGTCGAAATATGGAGCTGTTTATTTGTCCAAACGCCCGCCTCAACAGCCCAACGTGTTGGTTCCCGGTTTTCTAGGCCCTTTCGGATTGCATGGAGCAACCGGAATCATCTTGAACCAGGACACCCAAGTTACGTTCGAGAGTTGATTGTTGTAGTATATTCGTTCCGAGTCGGTATGAGTAGCTGCTCTGATGTCGGATGGAAAGCACCTTGCATTTACTGGCGTTGAAATGCAATAAGTTTTGGATCGACCATTGATACACCGTATGTAAATCACTCTGAAGCACATGTTGTTCGGCGTTCGCCTGGATCCTGCGCCAGATCTTGATATCGTCGGCAAACATTAGGAAGTTTGAAGCGATTCCCTGTGCAAAGTCATTAATAGAAATATGTGCACTTACGTGGTTAATGTGTGAAAGCAGTGTACCTCTGTAACTTTGTATTCTGCTAACTAACTTGTCAGATAATTCATATGTTATCGCAACTCATTCTTCGTTCAAGGACCCTGCCGTGCTGAATGCCTTCGCTCTCGCTGCTGCGGCCGCTTACGCCGCCGGCCCACAACAAACGGATGCAGCTCATTCTGCCCTTTTGAGTGGTTTCGTTCCGGAAGATCACCATCACCATCACCTCGATCGAAGTCGCCTTCCAGGCTCAATGCCCACTCTTACTGGACATCGTCCAATGAGTCTTCAACAACAACAGGCCGCTGCAGTGGCTGCGTTCGCCGCGTTGCCCCATATGAATCTGGGACCCCGGTTACCTCCTTCACATCGGTGACACTTTGAAGCGTACGATGATTTCTTCCCCAAATGTATTACTTATCGAGCTACCTGACTGACCACACCATTTGATGACTCTCTTCCCAGTAGCTATTCTTCTTTTGGATGTAACAAAGGATGGTCTTTTTCCTTTCTACCAGACAGAGTCACTGTGGGAGTTCATCAACAGTCTTGGAAACTTGCATTTATCTTTGCCTTTTCAATCAGTCCGTTATTCCGTCGAATACTTTGGTTATTACCGTTTGCCAGCACCATATTCATCCTGTTTGCACGGCTTATTCCTCGCACACATTCAAGTGTTTGTCACCTGTTGTAATTTCAGACCCACTGATCATGAATTTCTGTGTGTTCTTCTCATCTGATTCCTCTGCGCAACGGTAATCTCTGATGCGCGCGCTCACTCTTGGGTATCCACAAAAGCTGGTGAATCCGCGTGCTCTATACGCTCTACTGGTCTGTCTAAATGCCTAGATGATGATTGTCTCTGGGTTTGCTCAGTCCCCGTTTTGCGCTCCATGAGTGTGTTGTGGAATTCTTGTTAACTAAATAAATGGTTTATTCTCGAATTTATCGAGGCACACCAGATCAGGCATGGTCGCACTCAAACTCTTCATCTTCTCGCCTCCAATATTTGCGTCTAGATCCGTTAAAAAACCCTGGGGAATAATAATAGTATTAGTTATGTTTTTCTAATGTGCAAGAGGCTATCCCTGGAGTAGTACCGTTATGCTCATGCATGTTTGATATATAAATGAATAGATTTCTCGATGGAACGAGATATCCAAAAAGGCGTGCTCGAATGGTAACACAGTCTAGCAATACATTGATCCCAGCTTAATCGGAAAATACCTTGTTTCTCAAGAGATCCGCTAAGTTTCATCGACAAAATGAAGATGTTTGCAATGTACACGTGGTTTGCAGGTAAAAAAATAATTGATATTTCAACTTTGTTAGAGGGGAAGTCAAAATGTCGTTGCCAGCGTCATGGAACTGTCTTTGTTGGATCAAACAATGTTACTCTCGTTTAAATAATTGAAGTCCGATCGGTAGATTGCAGGTCTATGAGCTTGTGATAAGAAGCGTTGAAGTCAAGGTGAGTAAATAATGATTTACCCACTTTACAGGTAATTCATAGATTGAATTTTCTAGAATGATGTCTACTGCCGGTTGTTCGGGCCGTTTGTCGAATGCAGGTGATGTAAGGCATCCTTGCAGAAACAATCATTTGCAGTCGGGTGAAAGGTTCATAGAACATCTGCTGATAAGATCCAAGGGAGTGGTATGTAAAAATGTCCTTGCGGAAATTGAGGTTCCGGCCTCATGAAGGTAAATCGCTGTTGCTTCAATGAGGTAAGTCGTAGTATCCACAGGAGTCTGCGATCTACAGCAGAATGAAGCATCCATTCTGTATAAGCGAAAACAATTCCAAATAAGTAATATATCAAACCTCTAGAGAACGCCATTTTTCCGAGACCATGTATATATGGAGTCTAACCATATCATGGAAAAGGGACCAAGTGTCTCATGAGAATATAAGCGACGATCGTCGGGGAGAGTTCAAGTCCCAATAATCGATGTCGTAGGACGGTCTCTCGGGTACCGGGCAATATGTCTGAACATCTCAGAAAGGCAACGAACAAGAGTCCGCCAGACAATTCGATTGCACATGTGAAAGTGCGATCAGCTTCAATGGTTGATGTTGCTCTCTTATGTATTGTGTGAAACCATTAATTATGTAACATATATGCAATGTTTTCGGGCGGGCAACACCCAATTTTCATCTGCTTCGGTTACAGTCCTAGTGATTGCAGTGACCAAGGTTCATTTTAATATGAATCGCAGTCTACTTTGAGATTGCGCGTCGCAATCCAATCACACAACGTGTAATTCAAAATTGACCCTCTAATTCGATATGTGTATGTCTTAAAATGGATTCAAGACAGACAGAGAAGCAAGTGGACCAAGGCCGGGTGAGTAATGGTAAAGCCATTACGAACGAGGAATGGAGACAGGGGAATGGGTTAGAAGAGACAAAATGAGTGAAGGATCCAATGACACTGATGCGCTTATTGCTAGATCCTCGGAGAGTAGGTACAAAGTAGGAGCGACATTACAGGCGAAGCGATTTCGTCGCAAGTAGTTGAGACTCCGCAGTCGAATTATATTGAATAAGAGAACGGATAGGCTCAAGTAGACAATGGCTGGTTCGGGATTATCAACTGGTTGCTGAGGAGAAATGAAAAAGTGCACAAGCACGCTGAATTAGGGTGATGAACCCGCTTTGATACCAGTCCGAAACTAGATCAAGGCGATGGGCTATAGCATGCAAACCAGTTGAAACGAGCAAAAGAGGATAGTTCTGGATGGAAAACTTGCTCACTAGGTTTTTTGAAATGAGGGCAACCCACAGAGGAAAGCCAAAGAGACTGGTGATCTGCCCAGCCTGGTGCGTTTAGGTCGCAGTTGCTTTATAGCAATTAGAAAACAAGCGTGGCAGTACAGACGAGAATGGATCGAAGCGGTGAGATGGGAGGCACCATTGTCTCCTTCATTAAGCCTTCCAGCCATGTTTGCAGAGCTATAGTCTACGCAGTAGCGTCCGTGAGGTTACCGTTTGCTTTGAAGCAAACCTATGCCATTTCGATCAATGGGACCGCATCCGATGTGAAGCGTTTCGAAACGGCTTTCCCTTAATACTGCTCCACGACCGACTGGTTTCGTCCTGATTTGGACCCGAGAGTTAAAGACAGCTTGAGCTGAGAGGAAGCCCAACACATGTGTCTGGATTGCGACAGGCAATCTCGCTTGAGGCTACAGTTTGCTTTGAAGCAAAGTTATGCCACTTCGAGCAATGGGACCGCATCCGAATTGGAGGGTTTCGGAGCTGCACTCCGCGACCGACCGATTTCCTCCTGCTTCGTGCTCGACAGGTCGAGGTAGCTTAAGCTGAGAGGGGGGCCCAACACGGTGGTTGACGGCTTTTCTCTTCCTCACTAGGCCAGAGATCCGCAGCAGTGCTTGACACGGCGGTTAGAATTACGTTACTGGCTATGTGAGTACTCGCCGTGTGTCTGGATTACGGTTCGCAATCTCGATTGAGGCTACAGTTTGCTTCGAAACAAACCTATACCATTTCGATCATTGGAACCGCTTCCTAAGTGAGAGTTTCTGAGCTGCTTTCTCCCAACGCTACACTCAAGGAACGACCGATTTCTTCCTGATTTTGTCTCGGGAGTTAGAGACAGCTTGAGCTGAGAGGGAAGCGCAACACATTGGTTAACGGCTTTCGGCTTGGGTACTAGGCCAGAGCTCCATTGCAGCGCTTGCGACAGCGGTTATAAGTTCCTTATTGGCTGTTGGAGTACTCGCCGTGTGTATGGATAACGACACGCAATCTCGCTTGTGGCTAAAGTTTGTTTTGAAGCAAACCTATGCCATTTCGATCGATGGGATCGCATCAGAAGTGGAACGTTTTGCACAATATCTTTTCCCACCAGCCAAAAAGTGGTCATTAACGAGTTCTGGCCTAGAAAATCCCCAAGTTTACTCCGGAAGGTACTTACAGTTGCGCAAGACCTGGATAATGTTTGATAGGTTATTTCACAGGACTGTATTTGACGAGGAAGAACTTAGAGCGAATAGCTGTCCTGGTTCTTCACACACCTTATATACAAGTCTTGTTACAAAGCCTCCGAGTGTTGTTGTATGGCAGTTCTACTGTAGAAAAAATGGTCTTTAGCCTTTATTTGTACGATTGTGTATCAGCATCACGACATGTTTCAGTTTACACAACCAGAGGCGCGATGTAAAGCTAATGGCAACGCTCCTAATAGCTCACTGTTGATGCCTCACTGAACAAACGTTTACTGAATACTCTTTGCAGTTCTCCAAGGCTTCAATCTCACTCATTCGCATGTTTCCATAAAAGCTGCCGCAGTGTTCAACGAGAGGATGTGTGAGTATTTTGAAAAATTTGATTTTGGCAGAGTACATGGAATTCATAGCTTATGTTAGTCGGAGATCTTTTGGGCACGCCGATATTTCGCCTGCTTTGAGAATTCGAAGGTTGGAAAGCATCCTATTCCTGCCTTATATTTGACAGCTCCGAACAAATGTGTTTTAGTTTAACTGAATCTTCGTGAATCGAATATCCATAAGACATGACACTTGCTTTACTACCTGAGATCTTTATCTGCCCGGCTATTGCTTTTCCTACTTAGCACCACATCTGCTCTTTTGTTTATGTCTCATCCTGTCAGCTGAGTGACGTGTGTGCCGTCCGGCTTGTGGTTTCAGAATGTTTCATGTCCTTAGTTGTGCGTTATTTGCATGTATTCATTTCTACACAGGACATTCTAGGGTTCCCTTTTGCGTTTAACACTAAAAAGGCTTTTTCTGCCAATTGGGGTAAACGTCGGTGCGCTGTGCACTGTACTGACCTCAGCAGTTACGACAACAGCCATCCTCTTAGTGTTCGAAGTGTTGGCTGAGCTTGGAAGTTCCGCTGCATACCTTGCGCCACCAACCGGAGTGACATCATCACTGCACTCCCGTATGACGGTGCGAGGCGTTAGTGCGCTTGCATTCAGTAGTAGTGCGCGTGTCGTATTATAGGATGGCGCGATTGGTCGTCTGATCGTGCCATGTCCATTGCTAATAAGGATTAGGTATCTACTAGTCAGTACGTCTGATTACGCTATGCTTCCTTTGAATCTCCTCGTTAGTTCTTGAGATTCTTTCGGCACTTTATCCCGATGCCGGTCGCAGAATGGCACGTCACATGGACTCAATTTTTCCCACCAACAAATAAGAGTTATTTGGGACTGAGTTTACTTAAATTCCGCACTCCCCCACTTGCGTTTGCACTGTTGTGCAGCATCAGTGTCGGTGAACAGCCGATACCTTCTCTGAAAGTTTGCTCCTTGTAATCCAGTGCTGTTGATAGCACCCATCGCCCGCACTCGGGGTCGTTTTTATACCGGCCATCTGCGGTACAGTGGAGTGCAGCTTGTTGTATACTGGTAGGTTACAAACGTCGTGTCACAATATGAGTAATAAGGCAGGAGCGGCGCATAGTACCCCTGAGTCAATGTTCGTACAACTTACTGGCAAAGTACCTCGTCTAATTACTATGTGCTTCAAGTCAGCTCAGGACTAAACTAGGTGAGCTGTATTTTCATTGAATTGTGGGTCGGCTATGTAAAGCTGTGATTCTTATCCGCATGTCTCACATGCTACAGTTGGCGCTAGGTTTCAAACGTACGGAGCGTGGCGCTGGCCACCCGCGGCACCTCTGCCGATGTGAGCATCCCGTGTCCATTTTTAGACACAGTGGAACAAACCCGTGACGTAGGTC